AATCTCTACACTTACATTTTTAGATTAGCCCGCTTTCATACCTTTATCATAATTAACTCTTTCTAAATAAGATATGAATTAAACTGGAAATTTTTTAATGCAAAGGCCACAAATTCTACAAATTAATATTCATAAGCTTTTTTGAAGAACTTAATTTCCTCTCTGTTGAAATTTACATCAATATGTTATATTGAAGAACTTGCTGGTTTGTTATTATGGTGATGTGTATTGACTGATGCCAAAAACAATGTAGTAACATTAGTCTATTTCCTGAAGCTGTTTTAAAAACAACTGTGCCTCCAATAACCCACTTCTACTTCTACTGTTACAGACAGTTGCAACATAACCTTTCCGCCACCCTCAGGTGCCACTACTTTAATGTATTCACATCAGACCAATTAATAGAGAATCTGATTTTTTTCATTTTCAGGCAAAGTTTTCCAAAAACCTTTCAAATATCCATGCAACTTATTCCCTCCATTTTACCCTCAGACAATTGCTGCATAAACGATTATAAATCTTCAAAGTCCTCCAGCTAATAGGTTTAGCTCCAAATACCATCATTGATTTTCACGAGGGACCACTTTTGGCTCACTACAGTGCAATTTCTCTGCTCTGTGTGTATAATACTTATTTTTATAGCGTCAGATTAATACAGGGCATAAGGGACAGATCAGTTCAGTCTTAATCTGAGGTACATCACTGTGAAGAATGTATGTACGTGGGGGTTTTGGGGAGGGGTAGGATAGAGACTAGGATGATGGGAGTTGAGGAATGATCTTGCACAGCGACGCTCCATAAATCCCGCTCATAATTGTTTCCCTACTTGGTGTGCAGTCTTGCTCCATAAAGGTGCAAAGCCAAGGGTGCTTTAAATGTCAAGGGAGCGAAGCTCTGATGAATTACCTTTTAAAGATATCACAGAGAAGCGCATTTCAGGTGAAAGATGGGGCCAGGCTGGTGCTCCTAGGCCCTGTCTGACTGCACTGGCACACCCCTCCCACCACCACCACCACCCAAGGGAAATTTGTCTTTTTATCAACTGTCCAGAGAAGTCACAGCATATCCTAACTGAATAAATCAAAGATAATTAGTTTTCTGTGTTGTCTTATCACTGATGTACCATTTTTTTCTTCAGAGATCACCTGCAGATATGCATTCCGGTGAATGTGTGTGTTTTGCCAGATTAGCCCTAACGTTGTGGTAGGTGGCTCCAATGTGACTGTTTTAGTTTTGGCTGGCGGTATAAACACACATGGACCATCTTTTATCTCTTTCAGCCGTTGAGCACAGACACACAAACACTAAAGAATATTTAAAATGTTGTGTTGGGTTAGTTAAGAACACTGCAGAAACGTAGAACCAGTCGAATTCTTTAGATTTTAGGCTACTTTATGGTAATGTTTTAAAATCTTAAGCAGCAATTCCCCAGGTTTTAAGAACCCCTTTATGTGTTTTTCTAAACATCTTTACTGATTTTCTGTGAAGTACAATTGTTTTATCTTGTTTTTTCAGGCTCTTATTTCTAGTCAATAAATCCAAAGGATTATCAAGGTGTGGCAAAGATCCCATTTTTAAAGAATTACCCCAAAATAATTTGTTAATGTTGATATTAAATGGACAGTTTAGGAATAATCTGTCAAAAACTGAGCATACAGATAACCAAATGATACAGTTTCTAGGTTATGTGTCTGGTTTAAACTGTAGTTTGTTTTGTCTGTTTATATAAAAGCCTGCATTTATAACCCAATTCTAATACTATTATTTTATTACAGTGACAAATTCTACCAATTTGCTAAATAGTATGAACTTGTGTTTATACAGTATTGTATAAAACTGTAAATATTGGTTAAATCATGACCATCACCTGCTATAAAATGCAATATGCACATATAAGTTTGAATAGTTTACATCTCAAATGTCACTGTTTCAAAATGCCTTTCAAATCTCTTTACTTCCAACCTTCTGGTTCTTCCCGCCATCTGGTCTCTTGGCGAATGTAAAGACTAACTTATGAAGGATACTTTAACTCTCATGCTGGTCCTTTGGAAAGTATTTTGCAGCATCTTTGGCATGAGGCCTTCTGACATGAATCATCAAAAATCACAGAAGCTAAACTTCAGTGATCATTTTGTGAAAATAGCCAAAGCAAAAATATGGTTTTAGGATTAAGTTCTAGTCAAAAGCTTTTAAAAAGTGATGATGAAAATGTTTCAATTTAGGAAATATGTTCACTTGGTTGTTTTATTCCTCTTCTGACTTTGTGGGCAAGTTGTAGCTTTTTTTCTTTCTATAGTGCAGCTAATCATTCATGTTAATTTCTTTCTCTCAATCACCCATAACACCCTCCACAGGGTTTTTAAGGTTTTGGTAACTTGTACAGCTGCTTCTAACCGCCTCCGTTCTTCCTTTGTGCTTTTGTCTTGAAATTTGGAGGGAAAACATGTCGAGGAGCTCCCCTCGGTGATGGCAGCAATTTGGCTTTCACACACTCATGTCCTCCAGACACTGTTTGGGCTGAGCTTTGTTGTTGTTGTGCTATTTTTTGCATAGTATTTGATTTTGCTCTTTGATAGACAGTAATAACACAGAGCTTTTGTTAGGAAGGGCAATTTTTTTCAAAGGCATAATATAAAATGGCTTCCTGTAGTGTTAAACATAAAAAAATGAATATTTAAAAAAATATAATTTACAGATTTTCTGGTTGATCATTTTATTTAAATGTGACTTTCCAATTTAAGAGACAAACAGAAGGAGAATTTGTTTCCTGCTTGTTTCTTAGCTCTCAACTAATGGCTTGTTAGAAACTTTGCAGTAATTGGAAGCATGGGAAAATTGGATAATGATCGTTTATTTGTGTAAAATTAAAATGCAGTGTTGAGAAATGCTGGACTTGTCTGTTCTGAGGCTTATCTAGCTTTGCTTGGCTGAGTAATTAAATCAGAGGAGCGAGTGAAGTTCTCTGCAGCTCAGCGCCTTTTCTTGTTTCCTCTTTAATCAGGTGGCTATTAAACCTCTGATTGCACTCCCCATCTTCTGACTTCAGTTTAGCTATTAAACACAGACTGAATGCATTTCATTGTGTGGATATGTGTGTGTGTCCATTTTGCATGTTGTTTAAGGATTTTTTTAGAACTGCAAAAAAATAATTGAGACCACAGGTGGATGCAAAATAAGGAGTGTGCAAAATGCAAGTCAGACAGTTGTATTCTGTAAACTTTCCTTTATTCAATTTACTGTTGAACATTTGAGGAGTGCACAACTTTTTTTAAACTCTGATGAGCGATACCTGTTACCTTAAATTCTTTGTGTAATGGATGTATAGCATGCACTAGAATTTGCTTCCAAGTTTGAAGATGTTTCCCATCTATTCCCATTGAACTTTCTCCAAACACAAAATCCCATTTCAAGCCAAACAAGACCCTTAAACAGAGACTAGTGCATCCTAAAGACAAAGCTACCATTGCTAAGATGAGTTGAGTGCTGTATGCAGTTAAATGCAGTGAGGAATGCTCTGATCTTTATATTGGAGATACGAAACAACCTCTCCACAGATGCATGGCTCAACACAGATGAGCTACCTCTTGTAGACAAGACTCTGCTTACAGGGGACACTATTTTAAGGACCAGAATGTTTACATTTTGGACAAAGAAGCCAGGTGTTTTGAAAGGGGTGTTAAGGAAGCCATTTATGATAAGAGAGAAAAAAACAACCTTAAACAGAGTGGGTGGACAGCTTTTAAAAAACTTACAACAAAGTGATAGAGTTGATACCTTCCTGCTATAATCTCAACCCCCATCATCTGTTCAGCCTGGCCAACAATTCCCCCCTAACAACCCCTCTTTCACAGGCATAGACCAGTATCAGGTATTGCAGGCTAACAAAGAACCCAAACGACTTCTCATTCCTAAGGGCCGGGCCCATTCTTCTTTTTCAATTTGCATGTTTTCTAAGCCAAAACAAGGTTTTGGGCTACTCTATAAAGCTTTGAACTCAACACTAATTCTAACTCTGCTAAACCAAAAGAGGGGAGATTTCGGGCTAATCGATTGAAAAAAGTTAAAATCAGTCTGTTATCCAACATTCAGCCGGAACCTTTGCCTCTGCCTGCTGTTAGTGACATGAGGTATGACCCTCCCTCAAGGTGACCCGCCCTGCGTGGGGCGCAGAGATCACAGAGATTAGACTAAAGTCCTGCTCTGACAGCAACCACCGGCCCGAGGTTCCCATATACATCCATCCTGATGCACTCAGTTAACTTCAGCTAGCAGAGGGAAAGGTTGTTCACCTCAACCTTTCACTTATTGAGAGACAAACCTTGGTTTATGTGGGACAGTTTAATATCTTTCTAAATTTTGTTTGTATCATTTTGCATGTCTTTATCTTTAATCTGTTAAATTATATTTTAAATAGATTGCAACACACATTTTAAAAAGAGACAGATGAAGTACAAATAAAGAGGCTATTAATTTCCATGTAATTAGATTCATAGTTTTCTAACCAGCAACTTACAAATTTGGCTCTGTTTGCTTTGTTTAAAAAAAAGGTAGTAATACTGTCAGATCTATTTGCTGAGCAGCAGTCTGATAGTTAAAATACCATTACAGTGTTGTTATTTTCATATTTTGACAGTCTAATATTGTTGATTTTCCCAAGAAAGAACATAAAAGAATAACATTTCAAAAACAGTATTACCACTTTTATGAAATGAATTGTAAATGTGCAATTATATTCATAAGTCATAAGTACCAGTTTCTATCCATCTTTCTCACATATTTACACCTATTTCATTGTATTTTGGAATAAGATGATGAGAAAATTTGCTTTTTATTGCACAAAGGATTTTAGGCTGCTTAATGCCTGCAGAATTTCTTGGCTTCAGGTTTACTTTATTGTTTGTAAGCACCCACAATCTCAATTATTGTTGAAAGTTTTTGTAAGTTTTACATAGGTGTGTTATTTTAGGCCATATCAAAGATTATTTTTTTCTTTTCTGTAGCCCCAGTTATCCTAAATGAGCTCAACTGGACACAAGCTCTGGAGCGAGTCTTCATTGAAAACCGGCGAGAGGACAGCTCTCTGCGCTGGCAGGTGTTTGGAAGTGCCACCGGGGTGACACGATACTACCCAGGTAGGCTCCACAACCATCAGATCAACAATCTGTTGTTTACTAATGACAAAAAAAGTCTTGAGCTTTCAAGTCCTTAGCTGTACATCATCTTACCAGCTTTCTCGCAGCTTAAAAGAGAGAAAATATTTAGGTTTGCTTTGTTTTAATCTTATGCAACATGGCTGAAAATAAATGGATTATAACTAGTTTTGTCTCTCTCCTCAGCCACTCCTTGGAGGGCGCCCAATAAGATTGATCTGTATGACGTTCGCAGAAGACCATGGTAGGTCATGCTTCATTGAGTGTCTGGGTTTGTTGGTTCTGTTAAGGAGCATAGACCACCATATTTTTAGAAACGATCGATACAGTAAAGGTTTTTATGGTAGATCATACTCGGTGCCTTTACATGGATGTTGTCCAAAGCCAGAAAATCTGTCACATTCAAATTATGATTAAATGGATCAATCTTAAGCCAGATTCCATAAAAAAAAATGGCTAGGACCTTTAAAGTTTGACTTAATGAGTACATTTTTCATATTAATATCATAATTATATGGTTCTTTTGTTTTGTTGTTTAAATTAACTGATATTCCTAAATATCTCTGGACTTTGTACAAGTTGTCTTCATCTTGCAGTTAAGACAACTCGTTTAAAACATCACAACAATAAAGCAAATCCTAAAATCATAAATCACACGGTTGTCTTGAAAGTGTGACCTGCTTTACAGGTTCTACATTATTCTTTTTTAAGCCTCACTGAATAACTTATAGGCAGATATATGCCATGCATACTGTATGTATTCCTTTGTAAAGAGAGACCCTCCAAAATATCTTTGGAAATGTAACAAAAAAACAGTTAAATGAACTTAGTTATTCAATCAACAGATATTATAAAGTGGAAATGAAACAGTTATCTAAACTAGCTTAACTCACACGATTGTGTCTTACTATTATTAATAATTATATTAGAAATTAAAAAAATATAAAGGTAAAAATAAATGTAGCATCCATCCATTTTCTGTCATGCTTCATCCCTACTGGGCTCGTGACGGTTGCTGGTGCCTATCTCCAGCTGTCTACGGGCGAGAGGTGGGGGCCACCCTGGACAGGTCGCCAGTCCATCGCAAGGCAACACAGAGACAAACGGGACAAACAACCATTCACACACAAACTCACACCTAAGGAGAATTTAGAGAAGATAATTAAGAGAAGATCCAATTTAAGAGAACCCACACATGTACAGGAAGAACATGCAAACTCAATGCAGGAAGACTTCGGGCCGGGAACCGAACCCCAAACCTTCTTGCTGCAAGGCAGCAGTGCTACCAACTGGTCCACTGAGCAGCCTTGTTATATAATGCTTTGGCAAGTGCGCCGCCATGTTGCAGTACTGCAAGTCCTGATGTCATGGGTTTGGTTGATTAAAAAATTAAATAAAATACTCTTTATTTTATAATTACTTATTTTAAGTTCCACTTTTGGACAATCATCACTCATGAAAAAGTTAATTTTTGTCATGAGTGAAATAAAAAAAAGTTATTTTTCCAGATGGATCATCAAAATAAGTGGTCCTCCTAATTGTCAGTCATTCTGGTGATATGTTTATGTAAGGCCGTCCTACATGCTCATCCCCATTTTCACTTACCGGTGGTGAGTCTTCTTTTGGAAAGTAAGCTTGTATGAGCGATGCAAACAGCAACTTTTAAATAGAGCGTGCACGAGGAGAAATGGGCTCATGCATGCTCTTCCACACGTTTAATAGGCGTTCCCCCGGGGTTGTCCCTAGGGTTGTGCATGTGCATTTTTTTTTAAAGTGGAGAGAGTGGGTCTTTTCAAAAATATGCCTGCAAAGGTCTTCACCTCCTTCAAATACTTTATGCTTGAACCCAACATGTGTATTTAAAATTAAGAAGAGTGTTGCCTTATACAGTGCACTCATCAGCTGAATCCAAAGCTTTACTGGTATGGCAGCCAGTTAGACAACAAGTAAATGAACAACAGATTTATAGTTTGCATGTATTTAATAATATATTATTTCTGCTGTACAACTTACACTTAAAGGGATAGTTCGGTATTTTTGACATGAATCTGTATGGCATCCCCATCACCAGTGTCATGCAATCACACTGACTTACCCCTGGCAGCGTCCTGTGAGCAGAGTTCTCGTCCAGTTTTGGTCAAGCCGAAAGTAGTCCGGCAGGTTTGCTAGACCCAGCGAAATAAAACGTTTCTCTTCCCAAAACATTATGTGTTCAAAAGAGTGATATTTTTGCATCCCAAAAACGTTGTAGTGGAAAAAGTCACACGTCGTTATCAATTGGTCCTATTTTCTCTCTGTTCTTATCAGTGCGCGCCGTCATTCAGACAGAGAGCTCAACAACAGCCAGATGCATGTCTCCCTCCGCCTAGCTCCTAGCTGGGCGGAGGGAGACATGCATCTGGCTGTTGTCAGGTTAGTAGGCCCTAGCTGTCTGAATGACGGCGCGCACTGATACGAACAGAGAGAAAATAGGACCAAGTGATAACGACGTGTGACTTTTTCCACTACAATGTTTTTGGGATGCAAAAATATCACTCTTTTGAACACATAATGTTTTGGGAAGAGAAACGTTTTATTTCGCTGGGTCTAGCAAACCTGCCGGACTACTTTCGGCTTGACCAAAACTGGACGAGAACTCTGCTCACAGGACGCTGCCAGGGGTAAGTCAGTGTGATTGCATGACACTGGTGATGGGGATGCCATACAGATTCATGTCAAAAATACCGAACTATCCCTTTAATGCATTTTTAGAACCTCTTATTTATATAATACAGACACAGCGAGAGTACTCCGGAATAAGTAAAGAGGCAGTTTGGCTTTCAGTCGTCTGTGCAGTACAAAAACAAACAGAGACCTTTACTTATATGGTGTTTTCAAGTCAGGAGTCCCCTGAGAAGAAAAGGTAAATAAGTATACGCCATTTATCATTCATTATTCCATGTATTCATTTTTTGTAACCTTAAGTTAATTGTTAGTTTCATGTTTTTTTTTTCTTTCGATAACTTCAATAACTGATTTAATTTATGTTTACTTGTAGGATAGTATATACTTTTTTCATTAGAGTTGGAGTTGGGTCCTATTGAGATACCTCTCAGGTGAATAAAAAGAGGTTTGTGGATGGAAAAGTCAACTAACAATAAAGTTTTTTTTTATTAACTTGACCTGAACCATATTCAAAATGTGTGGACTATCATCAAAATTCAGGACAAGCCTCAGAAATTCACCAGTTGAAAAACAAATTTTAACCTTAAACCTGTGAGAATAGGAATTAATTCACAATTCTAACTTATTCATCAAGGTATGTTACATATTGATCTTTGTTTTATCTTGAAAAACCATTAGGTCAAAAGAAATAAGGACCAAACCCATCATGGAAACCCCCCAAATGTCAGGAGCGAGGACAGATGGACCCAGTATTCAGGAGAGACAGTCAGTAGGAAAGTTCAATAGGTTTATTAAAATAAAAACAAAAAGCGGAGCCGTGGCTCGCGGACACTGCAGGCGGGGGGCGGGGCACCACCCAATCTCAGACACTCTGGGGGAGAAACACAGGTAAGTGACCACGATCAACTGATAGAAGATTAACTGTGTTGGTCACTTACCTTGTTTAACAGTCAATACCATGAGTGTCCCCAGTGCTGCAGTCCCAGAGGTGATGCTGGAAGCCGATCCTGGTGAGGGATCCAGAACAGACAGAAACAGACAGGATCAGGTGCAGACAGGCAGGCACAGTGGAAGAAGGTAGCCGAGACAGGACGTAGGAACCGGAACTTGAAGCAGGACTTTAAACTGGTCTCCTCCCTGGAGCCAGGCTTACTTTGATAAAAACTGAACCTCCCCCCACAGTAAGCCAAAAACAAAGAGGACTCCACGGGGGAGGAACAGTGGACGATCAAGAGACGAGACAAACACTAAAACTCTCTTTCCACTGGCAGCTAGGATCCAGGACATGAACCAAATAAAACTGAACAGAAAGACTGACAGAAAGACAAGCAATGATCTGGCACTGAATGCTCAGGCTGAATTGAATATAAACCAGAGGGAACAGGTGAGAGGGATAAATTATAATTGAGGCAGGGAAGGAGGAGGGCAGGTGAGAGGAGTTATTATTTAGGGAGGGGCAAACAGGCCAGATCATGACACCAAATTATTCTTAATGTGCGAATGTTAACTGGAATTATAGTTTGATTTCTCAAGAGTGTTTCAAATTTAGGATATTTTGCATGTAAGTGCTGCATAAATTAAACCACCTGCAGGACTGTGAGATCGTAAGACATAATATCAGAAACATTTTGTCATGCTTGCGTATTTTTCATAATCTTTGGTTTAAAATTAAGAATATTTAATGTGAGAAGAAATATTCTTTTAAACTTTTTAATTTGCTAAGGGACAAAATAACAGAAACACATACAGAAGATCCTTCTGGAAAAAAATGAGGCCGTCCACCCACTGTATCCTCCTCTCCTACCCACCTATGGGTTTCTGTCCACCCTATACACTTTTAATCTACCTGCAGCTGTCACATCGTTTTTGTGGCGCTCCTGCCTGTTGCCTGGTAACAGGTTGGAGTGGAGTGGACATAATCATGACAGCGGTGTTGATTAGACCTGACCCCATTTTCTATCTCGGTCTCCGGCCAGTTTAAATTGAGTGGCTGTTTGAGGTCAGGTCGAGCCGGCAGATGAAGTCAGAGAGCTCGTACAGAGCAAGCACACAATAGAAGCTTTCAATTCTGTTCTTGTTGTTTTGGTCTATCAATAAATAAAATACGTTTTGACATTAAACTAAACATTAAGATACATACATAAAACCTAATTATAACTATCAGCCACCTCAATGTCCATGACTCAACCAATCTAAGTGGTTATAAAAGAAATTATAAAACACTTTTTTTCTAAGAAACAAATCTGATCAAACAGCTCTATAGCAGGTTCTTCAATAGGAAGGTTATTTCAGATGTGCTTTTCAGGAGTTTTATGCCCTAAAGTTTTTTTTGTAAGAGGGGAAGAAGATTTCAAAAACCCTTTGGATCTAAAACTACTGGTGAAGGAATGGTAGGGATGAAACAGGTAAACGTTGCTGCTACTTTGTGTTGTTGTACGTTTATTTGCGCTCTAGGAACTACTTCTGTCCCACCCCCATTTCTGTCTAATCTGAATGCATCCAACTGCGTTTTTGTCTATTGGGGGGCCTTCCTAAAAAAGTGCCTTTCATCACATACAACACAAGAGTCATGAGATGTAT